GTGTGTGTGTGTGTGTGTGTGTGTGTGTGTGTGTGTGTGTGTGTGTGAATGATTTTCATTAGGGCTGTTTATAGGAACATGGATAAGGATTTGTTTACAGGAAAATAAGTACCTTGCCAGTGGGTTTACCACAGGAGAAAATATTAATTGATTAGGTTTTAATAGAACTTCATTTTGTTCATTAGAATGGTTTGCCTACTCTTCTTGTTTCTGGTTTTATTTTTTTTTGTAATGCTTATTAAGAACTGACAATTTAGTTTTAAAATTGAATTATACAGGATCCCTGCCTAAGGAGCTGCCAATCTAAATTAGTGGGTAATAATTCTTGTTAATTAGTTGAATCTTCTACTCCCTGTCAAGTCATGGTCATTTCTTTGACACTGAAGTTCTGTTTTGAGTTACAGCCTCACTTGTTAAGACAAGTTAGCTATTACCGTTCGTGTGTTAACACAAGTGTTTCTTGTATTATAACTGACTGATTCTGGCTCTTGACTGAAACTTTGCTTACTGGCCTCATGCAGATCTAGTGCAGGTGAGAAGGTGGTTTCTTTGAACTTGTTGTGCTATGACCCATTTCATGGTTTCCATTTGATTTTTCAGTATGACTGAATCAATTATGGAGGGAAGACTGTTTTAACTGTAGTCAAAAGTTTATAAGATGGAAGCCCAGAAGACAGTAGTCAGACAGCAACAAGAAAAGCTTGTTGTAACCCAAAAGTGCCAAAGTTACATTAACCCAAGTCTGCCTGTAGACTTGCACTTGATAAGCCCCTAAAGTGAGGAGTAGTTTTCCTTCAACCTTTGCCCTTTTGTCTAGTGTTTGCTGTGATCGCAAACCAACCACAGAGAAACAATTCTCAATGCTTGTTTATAGCAATCCACCTATAATAAGAATGAAATACTGGCCAGCAAGATGCAAAGATGCATTATGTTTAAAGGGTGCTTGCCTCCAATCCTGATGGCCTGAGTTTGATTCCCCCGAATCCACATGGTGGAAGCAGAGAACCAACTCTCAATCAAAACAGGACTGTGCGCTCTCTCGCGCTCTCTCTCTCTCTCTCTCTCTCTCTCTCTCTCTCTCTCTCTCTCTCTGTCTTTCGCACATGCACACATACACACAAATTAAATAAACAAATGTTTAAAAAAATGCTTTCTTTCATGACTATAAAAGATGCCATAGCAAAATCCATTGAATCATAGGAACAGCTCGGACCTTGACCCAAAGCCCAGCTGATGCCTGCTTTTACTGCCCTTGAAGGAAGGATGGGTTTTACAGATTCAAAGGGTTGTTTGGAAAAAATAGTGATGAGGAAGAAATGGAGTCAGGAGAAGTATATATATTAAGTCAGTTTGCTTGATATGGATGAAATGCTTAGCTACAAATGGGGGAAATGCCATGAGTGTTGTTTCCATTAACCCTTTGACTCAGCTGGAGATGCTTTCCTGGAGGTATCTCTGTGTTAGAACTGTGTCTCTCTGTACATTATGAAATGTATACCAAAAAATATAGTTAAAAGATGCCTAGTAAATAGAGCATGTTCTTTTATTTATTGAAAGTCTAAGGCATGAGAAGATTCTACTAAAATAATAAACTTTGGAGTTAGATTCTGATTTCCCCAAAATTATGACAACCAAATATCCTCTTTTGTAGTGGATATTAGTCAAAATGTAAGGTATACTCCAGAGAGGCAGTGAGGGTTGTAAGTGCATCAGGCCATTTCATTGTAAGATCTCTATTCTGCCCAAACACCTGCACACTATCTTAAAGTGAGTTTTCAGAACAAATTGCTTTGAAATTTTCTACTCTATGTTACTTGTCAAACTATCTGCCCAACATTAAGAAGTTAAGCCTAGCCAGGCGGTGGTGGCCCATGCCTTTAATCCCAGCACTCAGGAGGCAAAGGCAGGCAGATCTCTGTGAGTTCAAGCTAGTTCCAGGACAGCTAGGGCTGTTAAACAGAGAAATCCTGTCTCGAAAAAATAAAGAAGAAGAAGAAGAGGAGGAGGAGGAGGAGGAGGATGAAGAGGAGGAGAGGAGGAAGAGAAAGAAGAAAAAGAAGAAGAAGAGGAGGAGGAGGAGAAGGAGAAAGAGGAGGAGAAGGAGGAAGAGAAGGAGAAGGAGGAAGAGGAGGAGAAGGAGGAAGAAGAAGAAGAGGAAGAAGAAGAAGAGGAAGAAGAAGAAGAAGAAGAAGAAGAAGAAGAAGAAGAAGAAGAAGA